ATTAACAGGATATACCTAAATGTAAGGAGTGAATGAAAACATGAGAGAAGGATATCAGGTTAGTAATCCAGTCATCTTTCAGTATAACAAGCCTAGACCTTAGGTAAGAAGGCGGAATCAAGTTTTACATTTAAACTGTTGGTAAAAGGGAGTTAAGACAAATCTCTGCTTTATTAAGGGTGATCTGTAAGAGGCATTAGTGATAAATGTGTCATTCTCACTAAAGTGAGCAGTCAATTCAAATTTTAACACACATTATGAGCGTGCTGTGTATCCACATAACAAGAGAAGAACAATTGTCATCAGTGTCACTTAACAAAGATGTTTGCAGGGCATTTCCATGGGATGTGATGTAGTGGCACATAAAAACACTGCCTTGTCTACAAAAAAAGTCCTACACAGGCAACTACAAATTGCACGTGGTGAAGTATTTCCTGAAAGATGATTTAAGCCCCAGAGCTGGTAGCTTCATTATTTCCTAGAGCTGTGGTTATAGTCTGAGGTACAGGCTGATCACCCCAAGCTCTCTGTGCAGTCCCCCCCAGCATTGCTGCCTTGAACTGGGCTGGGAGCCTGTGCTGCCTTCCAGGCTAACTTCATCAGATGGTAAAGGAAGTTCTCACTGAATGTGACATCTTTGCTACACTGCAGGTAAAAGGTAACTTCAAAGCTACCTAAGGCACGTTCATGCAAATTTTATTAAAATAACTCCTTGTAGAGCAGATGTTATTATCTGCTTAACCACAAAATCAGATTTGTATTTCACTTTATGTGCACTCAATATGGTTTTCTGAGAGCAAACAGGCTAGACTTGTGGGTCAGCCTTACACCTGTGTTTTTCGGGTATTTTACAGTATATTACTTAAGAACTGTCCAAGAGTTCATGAGAGAAACAGTCTGATATTCCCCAGCTGTTACAGATTTCTTGAGGATGCTGCTAGTTGATATCTTTTAACAAGAGCAGGTCAGCTAAGATCCTTGACAGTGGCAGTGTTTTATTCCAACATATATGCACTGGCTATAGCCAAAATAGACTCAAGCTTAGGTACACTAATTGCCTTAGCAACTTGAAAGGTTATTTTTTCTTTGCAGTAGCAAGGCTGGTTCCACTTTCTAATGTAATATTTTGAACAAAAGGTTGGATACTTTTGTGTAGTCATATTTGCTGCCCTGAAAGTTTTGAGTCTTGATATTTAGTAATTCTAATTCAGTCTGGTCTTGTTTTTGTTTTTTTTCTGAAATAGTAAACTTGCAAAACTCTCAGGCTTGTCTTCCTCCCCAAATAGAGTTAGCAAGGCACTTCACCGCAGATTGATTCATTTAGAAAATATTTTCATGTACTGTTATTGTTAAAAACAAACAAACAAAAAAAGGCCTGTACGTGAAACGGAATGTTTCTCTTCTAGACTTACACTGGCTCCATAGCATCAACAATGGAAAAAAATAAGTAACTAGCAGTCCTCCAGAGACTTTAGCTCTATCAGCCGGGGCTGTTGGTTAGTGTAAAACAAAAACAAAACCCCACCCACAAAAGCAAACAGCTGAAAAGGGGCTTAACTTGCCTAATTTATTAAGGTAGCATTTTTGGTGTATTCATGCTAAATTAAAGGTCTCACCTCTGAGGCAGGGATTTCAGAAACTGCTCTGACTTTTCTCTGGATGCTTACATAGGAAGTCCCTGGTGCACTTCAGTATTACTTCCAAGAATCTGAGGCAGAGTGGAGCAGAACTAAACACTTCCTTAAGTTCTAATTCAAGACTCGCCACCACCCCAGAATCCCAGAGTGGTTCAGGTTGGAAGGGACCACCCTGGGGCATCTGGACCAAGCTCCCTGCTCAAGCAGGGTCATCCTAAACCACATGGCACAGGATGGTGTCCAGGCACTTCTTGAATATCTCTGCAGTGAGGGAGATAATCAGTTAGTTTACAACCGGTATTTCATAGCTGGAGGAATTTCCATAAAGATTTGCTAAATGAGACAATGTGGTAGACGTGTTTTGCAGAACAGATGAAGCAGCTTTTAACACTGAAACTTTGTTAACTCTTATGAAAGGATACAGCTTGTTAGGTACAGCTCAGCCAAAATAACAAGTTTTCCAGGAAAGTTGTATCACTGGTATCTTTTTTTTGAAGCAAGTCTGGAAAAAGCCTAAGGTATAAAGGTTTTTACCCACATTTCCAATCAACTTAAGTGTCTTCATTGGCAGCTATCTTAGTAGTTCTTTCCTCATTCTAAGTGCAAGAGGAATTTCTCAACAAAGGCTGCTGGAACTTGGCATTATCTTGAATCTGCTTCACTCCACAAAGTCCCAGATTGTATCTCTAGAGAAACAGAAGGACAAAGCACAGATCAAGAGTCAGATAAAAGAAAGAACATTAAGTTGCTTTCATAGTTTTAGATAAGCAGAAAACAGAGCTTCTAGAATTAAGATATTTTGGTGATTTTCCACTTGGGATAATTTATCTTGGGTTTGGTGCCATATATCCAGATGTAACTAAATTGGCTCCAGGCAAAGTTTACCACAACACTTTTCTATTGCTCTGGGTAAAAAGCTATTACTGTCATCTTGGAAACATTAAGTTCTGTATTACTGATGTCAGAATTGGCAGAAGTTAGTTTAATCCTCTCAGAGAAATTAAGTTATTGCCTACATGCAACAAAATGACACGGAGAGGGCCACTAATTCACTGGTTTGCTAGCAGTCAGCTGAAAAGGTTTCAGGATCTCCACAGTATCCAAATGTCCTGATGTCTGCTAGTGCTAAGGCTGTCTCTAGAAAAAACAGGTAGTTCTTATCCCCGAGACTTCTTGCAAGAGTTCTGGCCTCCAAACCGGACTGTCCCGGGATGAGGGTGCTCACACATCCAGGAGTGCTCAAACCCAGTTGGTTTTCTCTTACAGACTGGCAGATGCTCGTGCCTCTTGCCTGTTTACAGCCCCCTTGGAGGGCAGCAGTACTGGGACACTTTCAAAGGCATTGTCTTTTAGTTCCCTATTCATGTAAACTCTGCTCTCCCAGTAAGTCAGTCATGGGATTGTCGGCTCCATCTTGTGCAGTGCTTTAAGATGTATCTTCAGCCAGCTCTTAAAGCAGTATCCCAAATATCACCATTGAAAAAAGACATGCTAAAGGAATTGTTGCATTAGTGTCAAACTACAGGGATGTGAAGGTTGTTCCTCTGTGAGCTGGAGCAGAATGGGAGTCCAGAATGGTTTTTTTAATTTTGGAATGAAACAAGCTTATGAAGTACACCGTGACTATGAAGAAATAGTAAGCAATTAATTACTACTTTCTAAAGCAACCTGTAAACCTTAATTTGGTATACTGGGACAATGGGAAATTGCATTAGTTGGCTGGGTCTCAGAAACTTTATTGGAATTATTTGTTGGGCTAGAATTTTTTTTGAAATATATAAATAAATTTCTATACCGGAATAACTTCCTAGCTGCTCCTAACCCTTTCTCACATATTAAGTTACTGCTAATGAGAAGGCTAATGACTGAAGATAAAAATAGAGCATGTTGAACTTGGCATGAACCTTAATATCTTTTCCAGCTTCTATGAGGATTGTGTTGTGAATTGTGTATTGTTTAGTTGCTTTCTCGCTGATTAAAAGTACTGAAATAAAGCGTGTTGTGAAATAAAGTTGCTGCCCTTGCTTTGTTTACATTTTGGATGTTTATCCAAATGTTACTTTACCAATGTGATGCGAAGTTAAAGCTTGGAGATGGGATTTCTAAGTCTTTGTAAGACTTGTTTTTCCTGAAGGCAAAAGATGTTGCTGAAGATATAAGACAACTCAAATGTATTTATTGTCAAAGCCTCAAACAAACTCATTTTGTTTACTTGGGCTTTGGATAAAGCCAGGGTGGCATATCAGATATTTCACTATAGAGTTTGTTACTGGGGCCTTACAGAAGTTCTTTGAGCTTGGTCTTGCATATCTCTTTATCCTGCTTATTGGAAATTCTTTTATTGACTTAAGTGCTAAGTTTGCTAAATACTTCATAGAAATAAGATTGATCTTGACTGAAACAACTCTGCAAAGCATAATGCATGAAGATTTGGTACACTCTTAAAGAGAAAACTAATACTTCTTGTTCTGGGAGCAGGTCCTAACATGTCTTGATTACCTCTGATATTTTGTTCATGTCCTCTAGAAATGTAGATTTGGTAGCTAATAATTACACTGAGAGTGGTCATTGAAGAAGCAACTGGTGATTTAAGAGAACTTTCTGTTCAGGGTGAGTGGCTCTATGTATCCCTAGCACTTGATTTAGGAGATCTGTCCTTTTTTCAGTGATGCTTTTGTCTTTATCCTGGTGTTTTACTTAGGGGAGAAGAGGGCACTCTGTAACCAATATCGTTGTCCAGCTCTCTTCCACTCAGTAAAATAAAAAGTAAATCTGAATTAAATCTTCTGGCAAAATAACAGACCAGTGCTAAGTAATGTTGTGCAAAGAAAAATTAGAAAACTGAAGATACCACATCATTATACAGTCATGTTATGCCTTCCTCTTGAAGATAAGTATTTCTGGTATGTGCAGTATCAAAAAGAGTATAATGGGCTTCATGTTTCTCTGTATTTTTAATGAGAAACAGAATTTCCAGCAGTGCTCTCTCATCTTTTTTTTTTCTTCTTTTTTTGGCCTGACAGTACAAGGCGGATCTTTACAAAACCACAAGTGTCATGGAAAATCAACAGGAAGAAAGTGTTTTCCTCTGCAGTCATTTCGTGCATTCTCCTTATTATCAGATGGCAGGGTTAAAAATAAAAAACTGACACTTTCACAGAGCGTGGAGCTTAACTACAGAACTGAGGGCCACACAATATTGCAGCAGTATCCATTTTCATGGGTTCAAAAGGGAAAAACTTACATGGAAGAGAAATCCAGCCACTAGGAAACTCATTCCTTTTGGACCAGGAAATTCCTGAACTGTAGATTGTGAAGTTTGACAGTGTGCTAAAATACATTCATATGCTTTTTTCTTCCTAGGCATTCCTATGGGCTTCTGTTGGAGAGAACACTGTGCTAGGTAAGTCTCCTGTCAGGACTGCTTTGTTTCCTCTGGATCCATTCTCGTAAACCCTTGATGTTTAGGGGGTTAGGAAAAGGGAGAAAAATAATTTCAATTAGCTTAGAAAAATAAAGGTATTTTCTTATGCTCTATACTAATATGGTATGTAGTTTGCTCTCTTCCACCTCCCTTAAACTTGAGGGAATGCATGGTAGGACCTGACCTTGATATGTGTCATGGTATCTAATGCTGTCAGGCTTTTGGGGAATACTTGGACCATTAAAAGATGTTCCTCTAAAAGTCATGGGATGGAGTGGTAGCATCCTTCTGTGTTTATATCTGCCTTTGTTTTTTTCATTCTCTCTACCACTGATACCAGAGTTTTCTTTTTCCTGAAGTCAGTGATGATGTGAATGCTTTGCTCAGAACGGTTCTTCTGAAGGAATGGTGATGAAGTCTGGTTTCCTGGCTCCAGCTGTTCTGGGCCCTGTGCAGATACAATGCTGTTCACTGATGGGTATTGTTTGTTTGAGGGTCTGTCATAACTTCTAGGGTAACCAATTTAGCCTCAAGTAGATTGATATGTCAGCCTCTGTACCTGTTGCTGGAGTGCAGCAAAACTGGAAACCTGTCTGGACATTCCATTCAGTGGGATTTTGTTCTCAAGAAAGGAATATTCTTTTACAAACTCCTTCAGAATAACCTGAATTCAGATCAACCTCTATGCTCTTCAGTTTAGCAGGTGCCCTGAAATAGAATTCAGATGAGCTGGCTTGGTTAGAATAAGGTAAGGTTAAAGCAAACTGAAGAAAATGAAAGGAGACAGTGGAAGAAAACCCTTTGGAGAATGATCTCTTCAAAGGACAGAGAAGACTGTCTTTTGTTTCCAATAGCTGTGCTCATTAAAACACTGCAGTTCCTAAGCCATGATCTGCAGACAGATGACACACTGAGGTAAATAGTGTGTGGTGGACAGAAGGGATAAATAACTTCTGCTCTTGACTGGATGGAGACACTTGTCTGAGCATATTGTCTGTCATAAACCTACCTCCAATGGGAAAAAAACTGAGTCACAGCATTTGTATTCTGTAGGGGGATTAATGATATCAGACTTACCTTTTGTAAGCTTTTTCTTGTGTTCCCCCCCCCATGGTGTGCCATGATTATCCTGTTATTGTTTGTACACCATTATTTGTAGTCATCATCTATATGAGAATCTAACTGAGCTGAAAGCTCAGGTGCAGGTAAGGTTTTGTAGCTTTTTGAACTTCCAGTGGACTGTTAAGTACACTAAAAATTCTTACTGGACTTTGAAAAGAAAAGCCATACCATGCCTAGAGACAAGTATTAGTAGCTCTTCTCCTAATAATTTTGGCAGGGCTCAAGAATATAAAATTCTGACTGTGTTGTGCCTCAGCATAACTTCCCACAGTGCTGAGGTGTGATGTGCTGTGGGAGAAGGTCATTCCCTGGACAAATGCTGGGTGGCATTTACTGGTAAGAAAACACACTGCACCAATGACCCTCTATTGCTGATCTTGTCCAGCTGTATGACATAAATGCATGACTGGTGCTTATCAGTTAATTACTGTGTTGGATTTGCTTATCAGATGCAAATATGACAACTTCCCAGTGCAGAAGTGTGGTTGAATACTAACTTTAAAGCTTAGCATCAAGCTAAACTGAATTAAACTGCAGAATGTCCTGGAAGTCCAGCAAAACAGAATTGTTTAAATCATGGTGGATGCATCTTGGATGTCTCATTGGCAGACAAATGCTCAAATAATGGCTCCCCAGCTCAGGGTTTTATTGAATGTAAGATACAATTCAGTTGGTCTACTCTTGTATGGGAACTACAGATAAAATGCATGTAAGAAAGTAATAAGAATAAAAAAAAAAATCAACAGCTCTGTCCTGGCATTTCCACCAGTACACTATGTAAAAATGCATAAAATTTGCTTCCTGATGATGTGAAACTACCCAACTGCTTAGCCATTCATCTACAAACAAGGAAGTGACTGGACCTGAAACAAAACATTACCAATGGTTTTGGCACTCGAAGGGGAAGGATATGATCCCTTCTGGTTTTGGCAGTCTTTGACCTCTTGTACTGACTTCTAGAATGGCTGCAAATCTTCCTAAAAGTACTTGGAATATCTATGCTAATGTTGGTAGTGTCATTTTGGGAAGTTCTGCAGATAAACATTAGTGTTTGAGAAGTGCCATTTGTATAAAAACTTTCGTGAGTAAAACTGATTTTCTGCCTGCTGCAGGAATCCAAGGGAGCTTACTGTGAGATTTGTTGAAAAATGACTTTTTAATGAAAGAGAAGATACTGCTTCTTTAATAGGACATTAGAAAAACTAGAAGCATAAAGTTTTAAGCAGTGGAAATTCCTTGTAAAGAACAGAAAAGTTTTTGAGCAAAAAAAAGAAAAATCCAGAGGGCACTGACAGCCTTATTCAAAAGCATGCTGGTTTTTTCTCATAAATGGGGACAAAAAAGATCCTGGGTGGTAGGAATTAATGTTGTGCTCAAGAATACCTATTTTTTTGTCCAGTAATGATGGGAGTGTTAATGGATGTATGCAAAATCTAAAGAGTACATGAGATTAACAAAACATACCCGCTTAAATCACAACCAAAAAGAATGTGGTAATACATCTTAATTTTAAGACAAAGTAGGATCAACTGTGAGGTGCTCTCTTGTCTTAGTGGCCCATTGTTATAATGGTACCAGTTTATCACTGGGCTGCAGTTCATAATTCTCTGATGACTGTGTTTTACTGGAAGTCATAGAGAAATTACACATCAATGGAAACACTGTGAGCAAAGTTAGTGCTGGTTGATTGAGGTTTTGTTCAGTCAAGTTTTGAAGGTATTTTAGGATAGAGATTCCATAGGCTGTCTGGAAGTGGATCCTCTGTTCACTTTCTACTTAAAACCTGAATTTTAACTTATTGCAGGCAGTAGAATTTGCCTATTGCCCTTTTGTTGTAGGGCTCGGAGGAGACTCTGGGACTCTCCAGTCTATAATATCTCTTTAGGTGGGATTTTTCTGTTTTGTGTAGCATTGAACAAAGATACCAACCTTTGGGTTTTTTTTTTTTTTATTCCTCCATTTTGCTTCATTTTACAATAATTGACCCCTTAGATGTAAGATTTCATTCAACCAGTGATGTGCAAAATACTGTTCCAGCTTTAGTTTGCACAGTAAAGTTTAGCAGATGCTCTGTGTTACAACCATTGGTACCCAGTGAAAGGGCAGTGTTTGAAATATAACCAGACCAGCTGACTGTGCTGTGGAGAGATGAATTAATGGAACTGGGGATTACAAAAAGTTTGAATGGCAAGCATTTTTGTTGAGCTAAATGAGCACCTCTTGCAGCCAAATGAGGTGTACCTGCATACACTCAAACTTAATCAGATTTTAATTACAGCATTAAGCTAGAAACATATTTCCATATTTCAAGGTCAGATTTCGTTTTAGAAATGTCACCTTTGTATTAAGCAGCTGTATTTATTCCTTACAGTTAAATAAATTATATATAAGCACTAATATTATGCGTGGAAAACTTAAACTATTTTGATTTCCTTTCTTCAGTGCCTTTTTTGTTTTTAATCTCTGATCTTGTACTCTCAAATCTGAGAGTCTAGTGATGCCAGACTCCTAAACTTCATTAACAGGCCTTTAATTATTATGAGATCATAGGATGCCAAGATTAATTTTAAAAGCAAAGAGGATGTGTGTTTTTTCAATAAACTTAAAAAATAATCTATTTTAGTAGCCTGATGAAAAATGAGACTAAGTAGGATTCTCAAAAACATTCTAAGATACCAGGCATTTAACTGCCATTGATGGTTTGGGTGAGTCTGAACAGACTCACACACTATGGAACCCTGTTATGGAGAGCTGCCTTCTCCCCATAGCACTCAAACACTTCTTCAGAATATGAATCTACCTTTTAAAAAGCATAAGTGTATCCAGAACTTTGATTAAAATTAGTTGGTTTAGTGTAAGTTGATATATTTGCTGACATTAATTCTCTAACTTGGTTCTTGTGCAAACACCTGAATAAATGTTCATAAGTGCTGCATCTGCTGACTGGCAAAATGTGCCTAGGGCAAGTCAATGTGATTTATGGAGTGTACTTCTTTCCTGCTCATGGGCCCCTCCTTACTGATGGGTGCAAATATTTCCAACTGTTAAATCAGTGATTTAAATGCCAGTTTAAAGTCTGCTCTAAAATAATATCCTTAATCAGAAGTTGGTATCTGTCATAACCAAGGCAGTGTGTGTCAGTGTTGTTCACTCTCTGTTGGGAAAAACCTTTGTGTTCTAATTTGGATATCACAGAAATTCCCTCTGTTGGTCAAAGGCCAGCTTAGGATGCAGGCCCTTGACAGACATCAGATCTCCATTTATGACAGATTATCTGTTACTGGGTAGTAAAGAAAGTGGTTGTGCAAGTAGAGCACTGCACAGGTGACACAACAGACATAGATAAACCTATATATAAGCCTTTTCTGTGAACTGATGGGTGCCAGTCCCACACAGTGTAATAAGCAGTTAAACAGCAATCTGCTTAATTAAATATGTGCAACGAGGGTTAAGAAGTGTTGGGAGTTGGAGCTGACAATACTATTTTGAAGTTTTTTAAGTGACCTCACACCCTTAGTGTTTTCGGTGTGACTTTTTCTATGTCTTTAAAAAGCTTCTGGAAAAAATAGTATAATTCACCCTAAGGAGATTTCAGCTGGAATCCCACAGAGCACATCAACACCCCCTTGGTCACTGGCCTGGGCCTTCTGCAAGGGCAGGTCACTGGAGGGGCAGGAGCGTGGGCTTTGAGTGCTCTTGGCTGAGCCCTCCGGCTGCGCTTTCCAGTGGGATCCCCAGTCAGGAGGCACCGAGGGGTGGCCTTTGCTAAGCCCTTGATCCCACTGCTGCCTCATGCTTTGTGGGTGCTCCGTATGGGTGGGGCAGCATAACCTAGAAAAATGTCCCTGCTCACTGGC